TTCCAATGTCAAATTATATTAAATATTCTGGATTGTATCATCCAAAGAACATTCTTTGAAGATGAGAAATATAGCACATCTTCCAATTTAAAGAACTATAGCTTTAGTGTGAATTACAAACAAACAACACTAGTTTGAACACTGAACTCCTAGCTTTAGTGTGAATTACAAGCAAACAACACTAACATAAAATGGAAGTAAAGCCCAGCCTCTCCACTCAGCCTGCTAAATAGAGTTGAAAGCTAAAAGATGGCCAACACAAATGGATTTAAAGTGAGAGAGGGACAATTTTTATCTTTGTTATCTCGGGTAATTTTATAGATGAATGTCCACAATCAAAAATATATGGAAATCACATAGATATCTCCAGGTAGGCAGCCCCATTTAATAAACAGGGGAAGGGTGGCTCCAAGTTAATACTGTTGTCATAGAAACAATTTTTGCCTTTTAAAACAATGTGAGGGTTGGAGAAGTATGAACTTATCTGGACAGTTTAAGTGTAGCACATTGGGAAAATGTAGAAATGTCAGGAGACATAGATACTAGCTGTAATGGTAAAATACTATTCTCATTCTAAAAGTTAATTCATCTTTTTTTTAAAAAAGGCATAAACTTAGTAAGATACCTCTCTTCTCTTTAAAAAATAACTTTATAAATGAAAATGATGCATTTCATTTCTTCAAAGAGATTTGGGAAAATCTATTGACCTCTTCTGAATAACTAAATAAACCTCAGGTTGTATCCCTACACTGGAAAAGTACAGCCCCCCAGGGTGATCAAACAAGTCCAACAGCTGCTAGATGTCTGTTAAAACAGTGTTAGAAAGGCACGTATTTGATGCATTTCTCCTGGGAGATTTGTATCTAAAATGAGACTAGAAATCACATTCTCTCATATAAATCAACTTTGACAAGCCCCAAACTGGGAATATATCCGTAATTAATAAATGAAAATTACAAAGCTCATTTCCTGCGCTTACTTCTACCCACCCTACCCACTCTTGTAGGGCTACACCTGATACTTGCTAGGCTTTTGATAAAAGGAGATTTACAATCAAGAGAATCTATCACTCAACGGTTTGTCAAGGCATGAGCTTTTTTAGTAGGTTCACAGAAAAAAATGTGTAAATGGTAAATTCCTTGAAGGATTTCTTTGGCATAATAGCACAAAGTAAGCATGTACTGCTCGGTTATATTCAGTTAAAAATACAGTGGTGACTTTGGTCTGTAATCTGGAGAAACTGCTCATCTACCAAAAGCTATTCAGGTAATGGCCACGGATGATATCTTGTATCTAGGGCCTTCACGTTTTGACAAATGCTGTATTTATCTCATTACTCAAGATTCACAGTATTTTTTTGGTTTTAACATGGACTCGTCTATCAGAATAAATTCCATTAAATGAGATAGTTAGGCAGATGGTTTCTGAATTATGAATTTTATATAAGCAGATATAAAAAGAGATTGCTCCAAAGAAGTTCCAGACTATCGACATTGTAAAAGCACCCAATCAGCTCTCTATAAACAGATTACTGTTATGTTCACCAATGAGTTTTTTTTTTTTGTTTGTTTGTTTGTTTTTGTTGAGACAGAGTCTCGCTCTGTTGCCCAGGCTGGAGTACAGTGGCATGATCTCGGCTCACTGCAAGCTCTGCCTCTCAGGTTCACGCCATTCTCCTGCCTCAGCCTCCCGAGTAGCTGGGACTACAGGGGCCCGCCACCACGCCTAACTAATTTTTTTGTATTGTTAATAGAGACAGGGTTTCACTATGTTAGCCAGGATGGTCTCGTGATCTGCCCGCCTCGGCCTTCCAAAGTGCTGGGATTACAGGCATGAGCCACCGTGCCTGGCCAAGAATTTCTTTTTAATTTACTACTAAAAATTAGGCTTTTGGGTTCCCTTGACCAGCCAAATTCGACTGGTAATAAATACCATTTCTTCAGAGGGGGTGTCTTCATCTAATGCTATTTTGCCTGGCTATTATCAAGAAGGTCAGAGAAACCAGTCCAGGGTAGTGATGTTTGAGGTAGGTATTGAAGAGCTCAGGAAAACCACGAAGACAAGGAAGGATTATTGTCAGAGGGCTGTACTAGTAATTCTTAAAATGTTGTCCCTGCACCCAGCAGCACCAGTATTACCTGGGAACTTGTTAAACACGCAAATTTTCAGCCCTACTGCAGACCTACTGAATCAACAACTCCGGCACAGGGCCTAGTAACTGATGTTTTAACAGGTCCTGCAGTTGATTTTCACATATCTTAATATTGAGAACCACTGGACTAGAAATTTGAAAGAAAATGGTGTGTTTGAAGGGCTGCAATTTCTTCCACATGGCTCAGTTTTAGATTAAATATGGATAGTGGGGAAGTTTGAGGACGACAAAGCAGGCAAGATGATGATGTGCCTTGTGTCTTTATATGGAATGCACACCATATCATTAGGGTGATGAGGAGCTCCTAAAATGCTTATAAGCAGTGAATTAATAAGGAAGAACCTATTAAAATAACTCTAGGAACAGTGTGAGAAACAGACCCAGTCCCTGACTGGATGAGGTTTCAAAAAAAGAAAAAAAAGAAAAAAGACAACAACAAGCTCATCATTGGTTGGGAGATTAAATGGTATCATGGTTATGGAAGACTTCTAGAGACTGGGAAAGGACTATCTAAGTTAGGATGAGCTGAAAGAAGGAAGAAGACAAAGATCTGTGTCAAGATTTTAAAGATAAGTAAATGTTGAAGTTACTAAAAGCAATTAAAAATAACAAAGAGCTGCCATTTTCAGTAAGAAAACAACGGAATCAGTTTTGGATTTGTTAACTTTAGTTCCTGCAGGTGACTACAAGTTTAGGACTCATAATTCTGGTTATCAACAATCTATCCAGCCAGTTTTATATAAAATTAAACTGTAGGAACAAATGCAATATACTAGGGAAACTATATAAAAGAGAAAAGAACTGAAAAAAAGTCCTGAAGTTGCCATGAAAAGCTTTATAAATATGCTGGAGAGAAAGAGGGAATAAAAGTACTCTTTACTCTCTGATTTTGGCACTACTATCATGGATCTGCTCATCCATTGTCTGTCTAAAACATTACTAGCTAAGGTGAAAACACTACGGCTAGCCTGGAGGCTCTAGAGTTTTCATAATTTTGAGAGACACCCAGCTTTTTCAAAGGTAACGGTTTAAAAAAACAAAACAAAACAAACTACTAGGTGGTTCAGTGGCTCAAGCCTATAATCCTAGCACTTTGGAAGGCTGAAAAGGGAGAATCCCTTGAGGTCAGGAGTTTGAGACCAACGTCTGTGCAACACAGCAAGACCTCATCCCTAGCAAAAGAAAAACAAAAATAAATAAAGAAAGAAAAGACAGAAACAAAGAAAGAAAATAGCAAAGCATTCTGGCGCATGCCTGTAATTCCAGCTACCCAGGAGGCTGAGATGGTAGGATGGCTTTAACCTCGGAGTTTGAGGCTGCAGTGAGCTATGATCAGACCACTGTACTCTGACCTGAATGACAGAGTGCTAATGACAAATATAGGGTATTAAGAATATTTACATAATGGCCTTGAAACTAAGAAACAACAACTGATTTAAAGCACAACTTTAAATATTGATAATTTAGGGAAATAAACATAATATTTTTTACAAGACAACTACCTAAAGCCCTTTCTCCTCTCCCTCCACCTGCATACAACCTCCTCTTGAAATGAGCACTGCTTGCTTACCTAATTTATCCAGTATCCTCCTTCCATCTTCTTTTCAAAATCTCAGCTTTACTAAACTGACTGAACAGAAAAGTTAGTTTATAATAGAATGTATTTCTATAGTGGCCCTTATTCCTAGGGAAGGTTGCAACTTGCTACTTCATGTTACTTTGGAGCTGTAAGTACAATTTTGATGAAATTCAACAGTCTTAAAGAAAATATGCATGGGGATTGGTAGGGAGCTGAACATAAGGTGTCGCCCTTACTCTCAGCTTGGCCTGTCTAAAAGTCAATGCCATTTATTTTATAAGCAAATTCTTATACAGGAAAATATTACAATCTTGGCAAAATACATTTTTGCATCCGACGATCTTAGCTGCCTTCCAGCCCTGCTTAACAACTTCTAAAGGACACACACGTATTGCAGGGTGGGGAGGTGGGTATAGGATTAATTATCTCTTTCCACACAATGTCTCTTCTTTCTGTCCAAATTATGGATAATGAGGCCAGAAGTGTAATTACTAAAGGAGTTTGGAAAGGTAATTACTGAACTAATCTCAAAAATGGTGGTGACCGCAGCACAACAAAACTCACTTTATAGCTGTCAGAGCCACTTGGAATGTGATAAACCTGCTGTGTTTGCAAACCCAGGTGCTGTACGAAAGGGAGTTTCATATTAGCAAATTACCACAACTACCTGCTACATTCGACTCATTTTGATTTTGTAATGAGAAAGCTGATTAATCTGTAATAACGTTAAGTTGTGACTCTTAAACAAGTTACACGTTTAAGAGTGTAACTCTTCGATCATGTGCATGATCTCGTAGTTGGGGTTTCTCGGAGTATGTTTTTTAAAGAGGTGAAAAAACAAAGATGGCAGGTTTGAGGACCCTTTCTGGGATCCTGTTGAATATCGAAGGCTGAGATTTGCAAATAACTCTACCTTCATCGGTTTCCACTGATCACTGGAGAGTTAAAGTTTAAGGGAACTTCATAGCAATTCTCAAATTAAAGCACTGAGCTTTGGGACTGCCAGCCAAGGCCTCCTGGGAGAATGGATACTTCCAAAGCTTAGGTAAAAGTACATGGGATGTATAAATTAAATTTCAACTCCATGCTTCCCATTGCTTCTCTGTTACCTGTTCCTTCTTGCTGTGATCCAGAGAGCAGGCCACATCCTCCTCCAACCCCTTCACCCTCACTGGCAGAGAACAATCTCTCCATCCCTTTTTGCTCCCGTACCGTTCACTCCTAAGCCCTAGGTTCTGCCGCCTCTTCTCATCCTTTTGTGACGTAGTGGCCCCAGGCCGGGCCCCGGCGCACTAGGCTCACAAAGGCAGGCACAGACTGCAACCCTGCTCAGTGTTCCGGGCGCTTCAGGCTGGCTTGGGTCCTGCTGCTCCAACCCCAAGGGCCCTGGAGTGCGCCCTGATACCTCCATCACTCACCATGGCCAGTCAGTTCTGCCTCCCTGTATCCCCACGCCTCTCGCCCCTGAAACCCTTGAAGCCACATTTCGGAGACATCCAAGTGGGCATCTACGTGGCGATCCAGCGCAGCGACAAGCGGATGCACCTCGCTGTGGTCACAGAGATCAACAGAGAAAATTCTTGGGTCACGGTAGAGTGGGTGGAGAAAGCAGTCAAAAAAGGCAAGAAGATTGACCTGGAGACCATACTCCTGCTGAACCCAGCTCTGGACTCTGCTGAAGACCCCATGCCCGTATCCCCTTTGGCTCCCGCGCCCTCTTCGGCCATCGGGGACCAGAGTACCGCCACAAAACGGGTTGTGATGATCCCCCAGAAAAACAAAACAGCCTCAGGGGACAGCCTGGACGTGAGGGTCCCCAGCAAACCTTGTCTGATGAAGCAGAAAAAGTCTCCCTGCCTCCAGGAAATCGAGAAAGTGCAGAAGCAGCGGGAAAAGCGCAGGCGGCTGCAGCAGGAGATCCGAGCTAGACGCGCCCTCGATGTCAACACCACAAACCCCAACTACGAGATCATGCACATGATCGAAGAGTATCGCAGGCACCTGGACAGCAGCAAGATCTCAGTCCTGGAGCCCCCGCAAGAACATCGCATCTGCGTCTGCGTGAGGAAGCGGCCTCTCAACCAGCGAGAGACCACCTTGAAGGACCTGGATATCATCACCGTCCCCTCGGACAATGTGGTTATGGTGCATGAGTCCAAGCAAAAGGTGGACCTCACTCGCTACCTGGAGAACCAGACCTTCTGTTTCGACCATGCCTTCGACGACAAAGCCTCCAACGAGTTGGTGTACCAGTTCACCGCCCAGCCACTGGTGGAGTCCATCTTCCACAAGGGCATGGCCACCTGCTTTGCCTACGGGCAGACGGGCAGTGGGAAGACGTACACCATGGGTGGAGACTTTGCAGGAAGGGCCCAAGATCGTTCTAAGGGCATTTATGCTCTGGTGGCACAGGACGTCTTTCTCCTGCTCAGAAACTCCATATATGAGAAGCTGGACCTCAAAGTCTATGGGACATTTTTTGAGATTTATGGGGGCAAGGTGTATGATTTGTTGAACTGGAAGAAGAAACTGCAAGTCCTTGAGGATGGCAATCAGCAAATCCAAGTGGTCGGGCTGCAGGAGCAAGAGGTGTGTTGTGTGGAGGAAGTGCTGAACCTGGTGGAAATAGGGAATAGCTGTCGGACTTCCAGGCAAACATCTGTCAATGCTCACTCATCCAGGAGCCATGCAGTTTTCCAGATCATCCTGAAGTCAGGAGGGAAACTGCATGGCAAGTTTTCCCTGGTTGATTTAGCTGGGAATGAAAGGGGAGCAGATACGACCAAGGCCAGCCGGAAAAGGCAGCTGGAAGGGGCAGAGATTAACAAGAGTCTCCTAGCCCTCAAAGAATGTATTCTGGCTTTGGGTCAGAACAAGCCTCATACCCCATTCAGAGCCAGCAAACTCACACAGGTGCTCCGGGACTCCTTTATAGGCCAGAACTCCTCCACTTGCATGATTGCTACTATCTCTCCAGGGATGACCTCTTGTGAAAACACCCTCAACACTTTAAGATATGCAAACAGAGTAAAAGAATTAAATGCAGATGTAAGGCCCTACCATCGTGGCCTCTATCCAAATGGACATGAGGCATCAAGGATGTTGAAAAGTCACATCGGAAATTCAGAAATGTCCCTTCAGAGGGATGAATTTATTAAAATACCTTGTGTACAGAGTGAGGAGCAGCAGAAAGAGATTGAAGATGTTGAAAGATCTACTCTTTTAGGGAAGGATACCACAACTTCAAGGAAGGGATCTAGCCAATGGCTGGAGAACATCCAGGAGAGAACCGGTGGAGTAAACCATGGTGTTGATTTTTGTATTGCCCAGTCTTTGTCCATTTTGGAGCAGAAAATCGGTGTTCTGACCGAGATCCAAAAGAAATTGAAATTATTACGAGCTGACCTCCACGTGAAGAGCAAGGTAGAGTGAAGCCAATGGCGAGAGATCAAGTCCGAAATGCTGCACTGCTGCAGTTTCCACCACTCTTATACAGGAAAACTGTCCAAATTATCTAAATATAAAGATCCTCTTGAAAAAGCTTAAAACATCTTAAAATACACTGATGCGAAACATGCTCTTTCTTCTGCCTCTGTATTTCTGTAGTTTGTTTTCATCCTGCTGAACAGTAGTTTTCAACAAGGAATGATTCCTCCCCACCCCCTACCAGAACATTTGGCAATATCTGGAAACATGTTTGATTGTCACAACTGGGGGTGATGAGGATACTCGCATACAGTGGGTTGAGGACCAGAAATGCTAAACATTCTTAAATGTTAAACATTCTAAAATATACAGCAGCAGTCCCCAACCTTTTTGATACCACTGACCGGTTTTGTGGAAGAGAGTTTTTCCACGGGTGGGGTTGGGGATGAAACCGTTCCACTTCAGATCATCAGGCATTAGTCTCCTAAGGAGCGTGCAACAACCTAGATCCCTCGCATGCACAGTTCAAAATAGGGTTCATACTCCTTAAGAATCTAATGTTCCCGCTGATCTGACAGGAGGCGGAGTTCAGGTGGTAATGCCCGCTCACTGCCAGCTTACCTTCTATTATGTAGTCTGGTTCCCAAAAAACCACAGGCCTACCGGTCTGCAGCCCAGGGATTGAGGACCCTGAAGTGTACAGGACAGCTGCTCACAGCAGGTAACTATCCTGTTGCAAACATCAGTGGTATCGAGGTAGAGAAACCCTGCTGTAGGAGAAACTGGCTGTGATGAAAACAGATACACTAAATTGCCAGCTGAAAAGCAAAACACTGTGAGTTAAAGGAAATACATTGGAAGACACGAAGGGTACACAATGGAGTAAATCTAAGGATACCGCTCATGAATCTTTCTCTTGCATTGCTGTTTAGATTCAAATGGTTTTTAAGATCTAATCATAATGGGGGGCTGGATTTTCCTTGAAACCGTGTATGAGTGCCTAAAATTGAGAGGGCCTTTTTAAAAGAAATATTTGAGTTGAAATGGCAAAGTACTGTACTCCCTAGGAGTGATTAAAATGCATGTGTGTAGGGGGGTGTGTGTGTGTGTGCACGTTTTGCATAAGTAGGGCTTTGTTGACTACGGTGTCTTACATTTTTTTTTCCTCACACACTCTTTACCATATATTGTATTTATATGCTTCACGTAAAAAGCCTTCCTGTATCAAATTGGAGCAGGACATAAGTCAGCAAAACAGTAGAAAAACTTCCACCTAGAAATGGAACACATCCCATAAATACCTCAAAAGTAGCGTCAGAAACATTGACACCTTAGATTGATCAGATATTTGAAACATTTTCCTGATTCGAGGATCACAAAGTCCATTCTCGCTTTTTTAAAAAAAGCTAATCTGATATGTAAATACAAATATAATAAATAATACATGCAGCAAACTAATTAATTAGCAAACATCATATAAAATACTGTAACAAAAAAGAAGGATCTTTTGGTTTCACATCTTATCAGTTCCAAATGCTTATTAAAAAGAACTAAATGGAAATGATTTGCAAAAAAAAAAGTGCATGGCAGACTGAGGAAATTTAGACAATACATAGTCTCCCAATTTTGCTACTCTTATTATTTTCATAAGTTTGCCTAAAAGTTACAAAGTCCTCATTAACATTAGGATAACTGGCACATTACTATAGAGTAGAAAAATAATGTCCTAGCAAAAACTATCAGTGTGAAACAATAAGGATGACCGTGAACATCTGGTCTTTTGTAATTAATATTTGTGGTCTTTAAAACACAAACACACACACACACACTTACTAGTGCTTTGATTGGATTGCATTGAATCAACACATTAACTTGATAAAGATTAGTATTGTTACAATTTTGAGTCTTCAATCCATGAATACTCATCTTAGAAGTTTATTTAGTTCTTCATTAATTTCTCTCATTAATCTTTTATAATTGTCCATGTTGAGGTGTTACATTCCTTTCATTAAAACCATGATTAGATAGTCAATTAGATAATCAATGTTTTTAAGGCTCATCTGAATTTTATCACATTTAAATGTAATCTTCAAAATATTCCTAATGTATACGGGAAAAGTTGGTGTTTGTGTTTGGACTTCTACATTTAATGATAAATTCACTTACTAATTCTAATAGAATTTAAAATATATTATGTTGGATGTGTTTAGGTACATAATTACGGTATTTGTTAATGATAAAAATGTTGTTTCTCCCCTTCCAATTTTTATTCCCTTTATTCAAAAGTACATACTTTTATTATCTTATTCCCATAAGGCCTTGTATATAATGTTGAGTAGAAAAAGTCATAACAGGAATTACCTTGTTCTCTATCTCACAAGAAAATATTTTGACAGTTTAGCAATCAGTATAGTTTAGTGGTTCGACTTTTGTACATAGACCAATCTTACCAGATTCAGAATTTCTTTATCTATATGTAGTTATTGTTAATGAGTGCTAAATTTTATCCTGTCTTTTCTTCATCTATTTAGATGACCATATGATATTTTCCTTTAGTCTCTAAGTGTAAAGAATTGCAATAACTTTTCAAATGTTAGATTAATCTTGCTTTTTGAAACAAATTCAACTTATACTTTCTTATACATCGTTGAATTAGAAATAATAATTAGGTTAGGATTTTTGTGTCTATATTCATGGGAGATACTATGCTATAATTTTCTTTTCTTTTGATATCTTTCTCAGGGATTGGAATTAGATTTGTTAATTCTATAAAACAAAATGAGAAGCCTATTCTCATTTTTATTTTCTGAAATCATTGGGATTTTATTTTTATTTTTTATTTATTTTTTTTTTTTGAGGTGGAGTCTAGCTCGCTGGAGTGCAGTGGCAACACTTCGGCTCACTGCAACCACCACCTCCTGGATTCAAGTGATTCTCCTGCCTCAGCCTCCAGAGTAGCTGGGATTACAGGTGCCTGCCACCACATCAGGCTAATTTTTGTATTTTTAGTAGAGACAGGATTTCGCCATGTTGGCCAGGCTGGTCTCAAACTCCTGACCTCTGGTGATCCACCCACTTCAAACTCCCGAAGTGCTGGGATTACAGGTGGGAGTCACCGCACCAGGCTGGATATGATTTCTATTAAATTTTGGTTAAATACTTCAAAGCTATCTGGCTCTGGAGTTATGTTTATGATAAAATTTTCTAGATTACTTTAATGGAAATAATATTATTCAAGTTTAGACTTAATATTTTTCTCATACCAGTTTTAATAAATTTTATTAAGTTATTCTCATAAAACTATACTATAGTCATTATCTATCATGCCCATATTATTGATTTCTTTTTGATCCTGATACTGGTAAATTATGTCTTCTCTTTTTTATTGTTAATCAGACTTGTTATATGTTTATGAATTATATTAGTTTTTTCAAGGAAACTACTCTTAGCTATTTTCTTGATTGTGTTTGTTTTTATTTTATTAATTCAATTTTCCTTCTTTCTGTGTAATTTCCACTTTTTTCATTTTATTAATTTCTATGCTTACATAATAAATTTGTCATCCTTTTATGATTATTCTTTTAACTACTGCTTTTAGTTAATCTACATTATATTTTTATTATTCAAAAAATTGAATACTGAAATATTCAAAGTATTCATTTTCTAATTTTCCCTTACCAATAAGGTATTAAAAGCATTGTTATATGCCTATTTTTAAATTTGTTTAATCGCGTTGTTCAAATATTTTATAACACTTATTTACTTTATCCTTTACCATGATATTAAATTCTTAAACTTTAATTGTAGGCTTAATTACTTTTCCTTTTAATTCTGACAGTTTTCAGTTTATATCTTTTGAGGTTATGTTCTAGTTGCATATAAATTTGGGGTTTTATATATGCCTGTTGAGTTCACAGTTTTAACATACTAAATGTTTCTCTTTGTTTTTCATAATTTTTCTTGAATTAAATTATGCATTTCCTAATATTCATATAGAGAATATTTTGCTTTATTTCAGTTTGTATTTCTATGGTATATATTATGCTGCCCTTCTATTTTGAAACTTTCTGTTCTTTACAGCTAAGATTAATTCTTTATAAAAATATATAATTGGTTTTAGTTTTTTAATCCCATATTATAATTTTTGTCTTTTAATGAAAACATTTATGTCCTTTAGATTTAACGTAGCTACTGATATATTTAGGTTCATGTCTGAGAGCATTTCTTGTAACTTGAAAATCATATCATGCATTCTTATTATTACATTATATTCCTTCATCAAAAGTGAAACTACCTTAAATATTTTAGTTCATTGTTTCCCAGATTTTATGCTTTTTATCTTTTAATTATATATATATATATATAAAGGCAATATATATATGCTTTTAATACATCATTATTAATATTTAAACAGTGAATACACATTTAAATAACTCATGTTTATTTTTCCAATATTCTTAATTCTGTATGCTTTATATTTAATTATTTATATCGAATACTTTATACTTAATTCTTTACTATTTCCATTTAGGATCATTTTTCTTCTTACATGACTCATATATGTGTATGTAAGAGTAAGCCTGTTAGTGAAAATTCTATTAATTTAAATAATCTTCATTTTACCTTCTCTTTTGAAGTATATATTTGCTGCTTATAGAATTCTTGGTCACCTATTCTTTCATTTATGTATTTATTTATTTATTTGCCCTTCAAAGAAGTCATTATTTTGTTTTATTATTTTGCCATTTCTATTAAAAATTAACTGTCATTTTCAGGAACTTTTAAGATTTTTTTCTCCTGATTTCAAATCAGGATTGCTTTTTCTATAATGCAACAAGGGTGTTTTTCTTATTTATTCTTGTGTTTTATAAAACTTTTAAATATATCACTGATATCCTTCATCGGTTTTGATAAAGTATTGGAGTCTCACTCTGTCACCTAGGCTGGAGTGCAGTGGCGCCTCCCAGGTTCAAGCAATTCTTCTGTCTCAGACTCCTGAGTAGCTGGGATGACAGGCACCTGCCACCATGTCTGGCTCATTTTTGTATTTTTAGTACAGACGGGGCTTCACCATGTTGGCCAGGCTGGTCTCAAACTCCTGACCTCAGGTGATCCACCCGTCTCAGCCTCCCAAAGTGCTGGGATTACAGGCATGAGCCTCTAGCCCCAC